TGTGCGTGTGTCTGTTAGACACAGCCTATGGGGAGGTTAGTATAATCCCATTACAATATGTTAGTAGGATGGTGCCAAGGGATGAATTTTCAAAAACAACAACAGACACCAACGTTGTGTATTGTAGGCTGTACTGAAGAGTGTATCGTGCCCTCTTAATGGTTGATTTGGGTGTTTGTTTTAATTTGATGGTTTTGAAAATTATCTTTTTAAGTTTAGTTACCACAAGTGACTCTTTATATTCAAATACTTAGCTTTCATTTGTCCTGACTTAAAGTTCCAATGCAGAGAAGTGAATTTCTCTGTTCATAAAAATGTTACCACAAACACAACCAATGAAATCAGCAGTCCCAGCAACATTGGCCTCATTTTTCATGGGAGGACTATTGCATATGTGGACCCCAAACTGACCTAACAAGAACTGGAAGTTTATGTTTGACAGTGTCTGGTCATTTTAGCAAGTTTGTTGTTGTTGTTGTTTTGTTAATGTAATATTTTAAATTTTAATTTTTGAGCCGGTTTTTTGATGTAAAAATCTTTGGATCTGGCCTGTGGGTTCATTTGGATGGCCTCTAAAATGCAGGCACCTCTGCCCAGCAACCCCTGTGGCCATTCTGGTGTAGTGAGTTGTAGGAGGCTGGTGGTCTCCTCTGAAAACTGCCCACAGGGAAGTCTCCCATCCTGTGCCCAATTGCCTGTGCTTACTGTTTTTAATACTGCCCTTGTCTCCCTTCTTTCTCTTTTCAGAAACACAGTCATCAGTCACTGCTGAGTTAGTGCCTACCTCATCATGGAACATTTCAAGTGAAATTGACAAAGGTACCTAGTGGGGACACGTGGGGGGTGGGGTGGGAGGAAGGCGTGAAGCTGTTTCTAACACTGGTATGAACTTCTTTGAAATCAACTGGTTTTCAGATCCCTGGAAGATGGGGCCAAAATAAATCCCCAGCTTCCTTTGTGATCATTTAACATTTGATTACTTGGAATTCTATTATTTCTGGAGAGTTTTTTCCCCTCTCTCCTTTCTCTTCTTCCTCTAAAATGTTCCACATGGTAAAAATGCTTCAAGATGTGAAATAGGGTCGTTTCTGACCTTCCTGACACTACATCCAGTGGATCTTATTTAGGGGATTTGATTCAGCCTTAGCCAGAATTGATCAGAGCTGTTTGCTGGGTGACCTTTCACAAGGAGCATTTGATGTGTTTGCAGAGTTCAGACTGGAGTGTTTGGAATGTTTGTAATTGCCTGTGCATACAGACGGCAGCTTCCTGTGTGCACGTGGGGAGCGAGTTCCTGCTAGGAGCATGTTGTGTAACATTAATTGCTTAGTGCTGACTACTCTCCAGAGAGCCTCTGCCCTGGAGTGCTGCATCAGGACACATCAAAGCCGCCACAGTCAGATGCAGGCACCACCCTTCCACCTGGGCGCTCTCTCTTCACGGCTCTTGTGCTCTTTAATGCATCTCTAGCTTATGCATCTCTACACTTAACGCTGCTTCTTGCATAGCCTGTGCTCTGCTGCCTTTCTGCTTTTGCCTTTTCTCCACCTAGGTTAGTTTTGTTTTTTGCCAATATCCATTCTCTCCCTTCTGCAAGGCAACCGATTACTTCTTTAAGGCCAAGCATATTATATTATCCACACAGTCTTGTCTGATTCCTCTGGCAGGAAGAGGCCTTTCCCTTTTTGGAACTACCATTTTCTCTGTCTTCGTTTTGTGTTTTTTATATTATGTCATGATAATTTATATACCTGTTTATCTTATCCTTAAACCTGGAAGTTCATTGTCGGTAGGATTTCTATCTTGTTTCTTCTTCTTTTCTTTTTTTATTTCTTGTCTCCATCACAAAATCTAGCACAGACTTTTTTGTTCATAGGAAATTCTCAGAAAATGTGTGAAATGGTAAGCCAAATCTTATCTAGTGAGATACCACATCCATGTATATATGTATAAATACCCACTTTAGTTCAGACAGGATCTAAGGTTCTGAGATTACTGTGGTAAAAGGAACTCAAAGATCCTTGTCAAGGCCTGGCACCTGTTGCTCAGTGGTTAGGGCTCCAGCCACATACACCAGGGCTGGTGGGTTCAAACCCAGCCCAGGCCTGCCAAACAACAATGACAACTACAACAAAAAAATAGCTAGGTGGGGTGGCACCTGTGGCTCAAAGGAGTAGGGCACCAGCCCCATATGCCAAAAGTGGCGGGTTCAAATCCAGCCTGGGCCTGCCAAACAACAATGGCATCTACAACAAAAAACTAGCTGGGTGTTGTGACAGGCACCTGTAGTCCCAGCTACTTGGGAGGCTGAGGCAAGGGAATCGCTTAAGCCCAAGAGTATGAGGTTGCTGTGAGCTTTGACACTATAGTACTCTACTGTGGGCGACAAAGTGAGACTCTGTCTCAGAAAAAAAAAGATCATTGTCAAAAATGGTCTTTTATGATCAGCTCTCTAACATCTGCTGATACAGTCACTGAAAGTTATATTTCTTCTGTGAGGAGACATACTTTATTTTATAAAACAGCAACAGGCAAAGTTATTTGGCTGGTTGTACTTTATTAGGCATTTTAGATAGTGGGATCAAGTGAGATGTTCTTTCACCTTAAATCAAAAAACTTTTAGGATAATTTTTTTTGTCTGTTTTCCAGTTTGATCTGGAGATTCTTTTTCTAATTTAGGATAAAGCAGAGGTGGTGTTGTGTGCCGTTACTCTTTAGTTCTAGCACCAAGCACAAAGCCCAGGAGGCAATAGATTTTCAGCAAATATTTGTGGAAATTTTTTAACAAAAAAGGAAGGACACTAAATGTTAACTTTGTGCCCACTCTGTACCAGGAAGCATGCTAGGTGATTTCAAGTATGTGGACTTAGTCTGCCAGCTCCTGTGGAACCAATAGAAAGACTGTATTACTGCACACTGTGTGCTGTCCGTCATATCCTTTATGGCTGTAGAAGGGCATCAGGATCTGCTAAGGAAGGCAGCAGAGCCACTGGCCAAGAACTCAGCACGTCAGACTTGGGTTTCTGCCAGAACAGCACTGTAATTAGCAGCAATTGCCCATCTAGAGCAGGTATCCTCAAACTACAGCCCGCGGGCCACATGTGGCCCACTGAGGACATTTATCTGGCCCACTGGGTGTTTTTGCCACCACTGCCTGTCCTGCTTAGCCACTATTTAAAAAGTTTGAGGACCCCTGATCTAGAGAGAAGTGATTTCAGCAGTACACACCTGCTGGCTGGAAGACAGGGTGCAGGTAGGGTGCAGGTGGGGTGCAGGCAGGCCTCAGACCCCTCTGTTTGTTCTCTGTGCCTTCCAGAGAGTGTAGATGTCACTCCCAGGATTCTCCAAATCATCTTTCTCTAGAAGATAATTAGCGTATGGTCTCTAAAATTCCCATTTGAGTGAGAAAGCGGATTCATTCATTCATTGATCAAAACCTTATTGATTCTTACTCTGGTTTGGGAACTGTATGAGGACTCAGGATGTAGAAAAGAATCAGACAAAGTGTCCCATGAACCCAGAGACTGCTCAGAAAGACTGATATCAAAATGTATAATTCAAGCCTTGTGGTCAGTTTGATAGCTTGAGCTATCAAGAAACACTCCCTCTAATCATGGAGAGATGCTGGTGGACATATATGAAGAATAAAAGTTCGTTGCCAGGCTGGTAAACAAAAAGGAGAAATGCCCAGGTTCCAGAAATGAAGACCAAGTTCAATGTTAGAGCAGTGATCAACAAGGGAGAATTGAGCAAAGACTGTATGAAAATATGAGAAGTATGCCTGCTTCTAGGACCTAGAGTTTCAGTATCCCATGACGGTGAGTACTGAAGGCACAGCAAACAAACTAACGCATTAGTTTGTGGGGGAGGAGTGCCTGGCCTGAGTGTGATGTGAGGAAGGTTCTGTGGAACATGTGGTGTGGAAATCGTCAGCCATTGTGGGCCACTGGGGTCCCCCATAAGAAATCAAAGACTCAACCTGTATCTGTGTGGGTGTGGTGTTAGGGTTCTTCTTAGATACAGCACAAACCATGGACCAAGAAGATTAAAAAAAAAAATAATAACCTGGATCTTGTTAATTAAACTAGGAGACCCTGACAGGAGAAAACCTAACGCTGCGTGTAAAAACATCTCAACATCCCAGTGCTGAGGGCCTCCTACCAAAAAGGAAGCTTAAAACCCCCAAACCACAAAACAACAACAACAGTAAACTTCTGCTGATATCGAGTTTACTTTAAAATTATAGTACAGGAGGGGCAAGAAACAGCCACCTAGCAAGAGTCAGCGGGTGAAACTCAGGGAGGGTGTCACACTTTGGGACTGAGGATGGCAGGGCATGTATATATGTGAAACATTTCCTGGTAGAGGGGAAACGGAAACCACAGGGTCAGTTCAGGATAATATGACAAAAAAGTAGACAGATTTCAGAAGAACTAAATAGAAATTCTAAAGTTGAAAAACAGAGGTTGTAAACTAAAAGTTTATCAGATGAGTTAAACAGTGGATGTGCCCAGTGAACAGTGGTCTGGAAGATAGATGTGAGATGATGTGGAGGTGTAGGAAATGGACTCAAGCAAGGTGACTGAACAGGTTTGCATCCTGACCCCACCACCTGTTTCTCCTGTGACTTTTGGGAAGCCACCCAACTTATCTGTGCAATATTAGCTCATGTCTATCTTGATAAGAATCCTTTCCTCAGTATACTAAAGTTATTATTCTGTGCCTGCCCCTTAAAAGTCAGGGTCTGTCTTACATATTGCCTGACACAACGCCATAGAAAACATAATGTGAAATCATTTGGGTTCATACCCCAGCCATGCCAGTTTATAGCTCTGGCTTCCGAACACCAATCAGTGTGAAGCACTCGCTAAGTCAGCTGCCACATCATTTGGGTTCAAACCAACCTGCACAGTGGCAGAAGGGGGCATGGGGGTGTAGGGGTGCCAGGCCTCCCCGCCAGGGCATTCATGTCCCCTCCTACGGAGAAGCACTGAGATGTAACCCATCCTTGGTACCTTTCAATGCCTCCCTCTTCACCCAGCTGCCCCTTTCAACCTGTCAGCCCCATTGTGGTTCCCAGCCTCACTCACGTCCCAGTGTGTTCTGCTAATGAGTCCTGTCAGTGGCATTAAATAGTTACCAACAGGAAATGAAATTTAAAAGGGACAAGGCCATCGGGAAGAGCCATTGAAAGCTCCTATTGATGGCTCATGGGGGGTGATTTCTGAAACAAATGCTCAGAACCAAATACCACCTAAAATAAATTGATCTACAGGGGCTCAACCTCAGCTTCCCCAGGAGAGAGCTAGGGTGGTGTGAGGTGGTCTTCTCTCCCTTTCTTCCACATCCAGTCACAAGAAGTCTCAGAGGCTCTCTACCGAAAGCCAAATGTTTCTTTTCGAGAAAGGGCTGGAAATCGCTCCCATAGGTAACAGAAAGGGAGGGAGCGTACTACTTTAAAAATATTGAGGCTGCTTCCAACTGCAGATAGTCCCCTGTGCTGACAGACTACGTGTGGGGTATTTTGGCCGGGTCTGCCTCTTTAATTGGCCTCTTAGCAACGTGAAGCTCTCTACACAGCAGGGAAGTGAGCAGCAGGTGCTATGGGCGTGGGATCCAGTATTGCTATGAATCTTCCCAGCCTATGGTGTGGGGTGCTTGTATCTACCATCTAAGGCTGTTTTCCTGCCCCCAAACATGTCTGTGGGTCTCACATCTGTGTTGTGTTAGGATGGCTGCTTGCATGGTCACAGTAGACAGAAACGCCCTGGACTCACTCCTAAGCCCCCTTTCCCCCAAGCTTCACCATCAAGCCTGTG